AAGTTTACAATTTATGTGCTTTACACAATATAAATGTTCTACCAGTCTTCAATTTATGGGTTTTACTCTGTATTCTTTTTTTTAATTTCAGTCAAACATTTATATCATTCAGTGGTCTACATGCATTTCATAACAATCCAACAAAAAAATACTACCATGTAAATGCTTGAGATTCAAAATATAGAGTTCCCTAAATAATTTTCAACTATTTACTTACAAAATGAATTTAGAATACAAGAAAATATTACTGATGAATCCTTATTAGAACCTTATATTTCTTCAATTGTTCAACAGAACATAATGCAGCAATATATAATGGATGACTATCTTACACTCATTTGAAATGAAATGTTTATGATGTATCAAAAATATTGTAAAATTCATTCAATACACTTCAAACCTAATGTTTATATAAATATTTAATAAAGCAAAATAGAAATTACAAAGAAACCAAGTTGAAAAAAACAAAAACAACAACAAAAATCCTGTTTTCCTTAACCATCTTATGAAGCATACTTTCCTATTGTCAAAACATGAAATTAAAGCAAAAGTTTTGTTTAAAGAGGCAGTGATTTGACCAATATATAAAGCATGTTATAATATTTGAGATCACACATCTGTAATCTGTAATGTCATGAAATGATTTAATTCATATATGTAAATATATAATTATGAGCCGCGTCATGACAAAAACCAACATATTGTGTTTGCGCCCAGCATGGATCAAGACCAGCCTGCGCGTCTGATCAGGTTCCATTAGTGATGTTCCGATTGTCGCAAGTCGCCGATGATCAGTTACTGTTATGTAAAACGACAATAATCGATTCACAAAAATTTGTTTCGCGACGTCGTCGAAAATGTTTAAAGTATCGAAGGGAATTAATTTTGACGGTAATTTTCTTTTAGGACACCTCGTAGATCGCAAAAAAATCACTCAGAGACAATTTGGAGTTGAACAGGATCAATAAGTGATATGAACAATAGTAATATAAATGTGTTGTGAATGGTATTATTTGACATCCATTGAAAAATAAAATCTATTTCGTAAAATTATGACTATATAAGGTTAAAACTGTGTTGAAAAGTACTAAATGAAGTTCATGTTACTAAATATAATCAAGTGCCTTGGTAAGAAATGTTACTTCCCTATTTTATTTTAGCGCGACTTTATTTGAAAGTTATCGATTATGTCCCATCCGACTGAACAGATAATCGATTGGGACAAATTTCATCCGATTTCCATCACTAGGTTCCATGCTGTTCGCTATTGCCAGGTTTCTCTACTTGTTATAGGGTTTGTAAGCGAACAGCATTGATCCTGATCAGACTGCGTGGTCGCAAACGCATTATGTTGGTTTTGTCATGACACAGCTTAATTACTGTAAATCACTTTATATTCGCGTGATCTTTATTTCGCGAAAACCCCATCCCCGGTTTATTTCGCGTATTCATGATTTCGCGAGGACAGGGTTAGAAATTTATATTCGCGACTCGCATTATAACAGGGTAGGTTTACGTTATTTTCCATACTGTGCGGCATTTATTCACGGTAAATGTTAATGGTGTTAAGAAGAGACAGTTTTTTATTTATATATTTTATATACAAAATGTACCAATATACATGTAATTTATGAATGGTATTTCTAAATTTGGTTATTGTTTGAAAAAAAAGCGTATTTGATAAAACGTTAAATGTTTGTAAGAAGGTGTAATATACTTGTTTATAATACTTAATCTACAGTACGAAAACTGTCCGTTGATCACTGTTTTACCGTAAATCTATTGTTATCTAAACAATATGTGTTCACTTTTGTCTGTAAAGTACAAAATTTGTGGATATTGTCGAAAAGTAATTTTACGTTTTTTTTGTGTTTGATATACATGTATTTATGAGGAAAAAGGAATTGGAAAAAATCTGTTGGTAAACCTTCGTATCTTTCTTATGATGTAAATAAAACGTGTGCACATATTAATTACTTTGTAATCAGTTATTGTATTCATTTTCAAACATTATCACAATGTGAAAAAAAATGTAGTCGGATTTATTTTTTTAAAACGTATGCTTTATAATAAAATTTACGCGGCATCATGTATTCGCGACGCAGCCGATTCGCGAATAATAGCGAAAATTAAAACATCGCGAAAAATACTGGATTTACAGTATATGATTTATATCAAAATGATAATAAAATAAAGAATGAGGTTATATAAATTAACACCAAAAATGCCAAATTAATGAACTTATGAAAGTATGTATCGGTTAATGAAGGCAGTACGTTAAATGGAATGCCTTTTTGATCTAGCTTGAAAATATGAAAATTATACTTCTTTTCACTGTTAATTTGTATAATGAAATTGATATGTTGTAAAAGTGAAACTATCTATTGTTAATTTAAAATGTTTCCATACAAAATGTTTATTACAACCTGTGTTATAAAAAAATAAATGATTTATTTATACCTTGGACAATTTGACAAAGAATAAGTACATCCCAAATTGTGTCATCAAATCAAATTTGTGTTTTTCACATCAAATTTATGGAAAAAAATAATAAATGACAGGAAATTGTAGCAAATTCAGGTTTTCTGCCAATTATACATTAGTGAAAAATAACCCAAAAGGGAAATAACTCTGCCACTATTTATAAAATTACAAATTCCCAATAATATCTGCCACAGCAACAGATGTCAAAAATTCTGTGAAGGCTTATAGTTGAAATCCTTTCTAGAAATATATAGGAAGTTAAGTACAGAAAATATTGCTTGCTGTCAACATTCACCAACCTCATTCCTAGAATTTTTCATCCAAAATTTTAGCTAACAAAATAAAAGAACAACAAGTTATAGTTAAAGGCATATTATGCATCAGAAATCCATATTTTTAAGTCCTTAGAAATGTCAATCGTGTTTTTTATAATGTTTCAATAATGAATTTAGAGCATGTTACATGTTTAAACACTGAAGAAAGAAAGTAGTGCTGAATGAGCAGTAATGTGTAGTAAAGGTAGCAAAATGTAAACAATTTAGTATTTTAACATCGGTTCCATACAAAATATAACTTCACTATAACAATGATACATATATGATATATAAGTATATTTTTGGAAACTGTAACAAGATACCAAAAACAGAAATTGTTTTTGACAAATAGAATTTATGGCATTTCTGAGGCATAATGGGCCTTTAAGTCTACCAAATTATCACAAACAAGAAACATGGCAATGCCATGAAACCAGGTTTTCAATTATCACCATTCTGGTAGATAAATATGTTGTAGTTGAAATACAAATACAAGCAACAAACAATGTAACTATAAGCAATGTAAATCATGAATAATGTAGGAGTAATTGCATACAGAAGAAATTGTTCTATAAGGAAAAAAACAAAGGGCCATAATTAGGTCAAATATTGTACAATCACAAAACCCCGACAATATGCGCCAGGGCACTTGATGACAAAGCTTCTGTGAAAGTTTGGTCAAAATCCGTTGAAAAATGTAGGAGGAGTTGCGCACAGAAGAAATTGTTCACTATATATTCTATATAAGGAAAAAACAAAGGACCATAATTAGGTCAAATATTATCCAATCACAAAACCCCGACAATATGCGCCAGGGCACTTGATAACAAAGCTTCTGTGAAAGTTTGGTCAAAATCCGTTGAAAAATGTAGGAGGAGTTGCGCACAGAAGAAATTGTTCACTATATATTCTATATAAGAAAAAAACAAAGGACCATAATTAGGTCAAATATTATCCAATCACAAAACCCCGACAATATGCGCCAGGGCACTTGATAACAAAGCTTCTGTGAAAGTTTGGTCAAAATCCGTTGAGAAATGTAGGAGAAGTTGCGCACAGAAGACATTGTTTACGCCCGCCCTCCCATCTGCCCGCCTACATACCTCAATCTAATAACCAGTTTTTTCCTTCGGAAAACCTGGTTAAAAATGCTAATAATGTTTTTCATACAAGATCAAATATATTTAAAACATCCAATTACACATATAAAGTTTATCACAATAAATCAATTTTTTTTTATCAAAATAAAGTTTTGCATTGAAAATGTTATCATACCTGATAAGACTTATATATGAAAATTATAGTCACTAATAAAATAAACATGAATAAAAAAAGATTTTCAGCTGTTTTACTACAATATACAGAGACAATTGTGAAAAAAAAAAAAAAATCTGCATCACCTTATTTTGCCATCATACTTCCATTTTTCAAAGCCATAACTTTTTTTTTCAACAAAAAAGTCTATTCTTATGCCAAGCTTTGCTATGAGGTAAAAATATAATTAATATTCCTATTAAAATATGACAAAAAAAAATGATGTACATATATACAAGTACCAAGAGATATTGAAAGTAATATGGTTAATTTGTGACCCAGTAAAGGAATTAACAACACTATGGCAAAACGATATTGGGGCAATCCAAAGGTCAAGTCCAAATATGGTTTTCCACAGAAACTTAAATCCTGCATTGGTTCAGAAATTACCACTGTAATAATTATATTAACCTAAATACCTTCCTGAAATTCATGTAGCATGGACACACTATTTTTACAGCCATTTAGAATGTGTATTTTGCCCAATATATTCTGGTAGCCTAATATAGCATATAGAAAGTCACCATGTGACGCCAGTACAATGGAAGAAAGTATTTTGTACTCAGTCTAATATAACTGCAATATGGATAAAGGAATTATTTTATTTTCATCCAGAACACAATTAAATTGGGGTGGGGGTTACATTTGCTTTCATAAAACCTAATTGAGCCGCGCCATGACAAAACCAACATAATGGGATTGCGACCGGCATGGATCCAGACCAGCCTGCGCATCCGCGCAGTCTGATCAGGATCCATGCTGTTCGCTATCAGTTTCTCTACTTATAAAAGGGTTTGTAAGCGAACAGCATGGATCCTGATCAGACTGCGCGGATGCGCAGGCTGGTCTGGATCCATGCTGGTTGCAAACATTCTGTTGGTTTTGTCGTGACACGGCTCAATTTATTGCTGGCTTGGTCATACATCACACAATAAATAACACAGTGCAGTAATGGAAGGTAGTGATTGAAGGTTTCAGGTACCTCTCCATGCATTATTTTAGACATGACAAAATCACTGACCCACAGTAACCTGATTATGAAGTGAACAACGAGTCAGCCTCCAAATAAATGCACATAAGAAGAAACACCTCTATAGTACAATATAATCATGTTATATAATGGATAAATTTCATCTATATGTAGATATATAACTTTAAGTGACCGAAAAATTAGCTGAAACAATGGAAATAGCCTGAATAATTTAAGCAATTTAATGTGTTATTAACTGAATGATTTGTAACTATATAGCACCATCTTGTGTCTAGAACTTTAGTATCAAAACCCCTTATCTCTAACTAACATTAAAAAACTGTATATTTTCACCATTCTTACCTTACAATCATAAATTTGTTCTTCTTTGTATTAAGAAATGCCATTTATTAGTTCAAGTCATTTCAATATCAAAAGAAGTTGACAAAAGATTTTGTAGCCAAGATTTACTAGCGTAGCTCTAGGCCAGATAACATCATTGCAAATATTGAAAGAACTATGGAACACCAGCAGTCCAAGCCGAAACTCAAATATCTCCAATATTTACAGTCATATGGCAATGTTCAGTACATAACTCCATTTCCAATAGCCTTACTCCCTTTACCAGCAGGGTCATCTGTGTTCATATCTACTGATAAATATGGCCACATCTTCAACCAGTACTATAAAATACATATATTTAAATTTTAAACTACATGTAATATAATCTACAACATCAGCACATTTCACTTTAAATTCAGTATAGTTTAGATATTTCATCAAAACTTATTCTTAGCTTTATAGCTTCATTTCGTAAATAAACAGGAATAGTATTTTGACTTTAGATTGAAATGAAATACATTGGTGTTATTATGCCAAAATGTCTTGATTAATGAAAGAAAAACATGTTTTGAGTTTTAAGTTAGACAGACACTGTTTGGAGATTCATAGTAATTTCCTTTCCAGTTTTATTGGTGGAGGAAGACCTCACATATTGTTCCCCCGCTATGCATCATTTCATGCACAGACAGACACCAGAGTTTGTTTTGTTTGTTTGTTTGTTTCATTTTACGCCTTTTCCCAACGGTATTTCAGTCATATAGGCGGGACACCAGAGTAGATCCACTAATGTAAGCGTCATAGATTCAACATCAAACAAACAGTAATGTGTGACAAATGATTCACAATCATAAACATTAACATTTGATGGCCTTCTTGACAAAAGTCTTAAACACTTTGCCTTCCACTGCTGATTCTAGACGTGAATGAGTACAACCCATAATATGTAGTTCTTATACAAAATCCAAATCTCAATGCTTTCAACTTGAACTAATGTTTCTCAATATAGTTCTGAATCAACATCCTGAATTGCTGACCAGGCAAACTATCACTGGTTACAAACTAAGTTCAAAGCAAACAAAATAAAACATGTTCCAGATTAAAGATAGACAGTACTTATTGGCATAAAAGAATCCAGCTTACCTTAATCTTCGCCTTTTGTCCCAAAATAGTACAACGCAAGTCAGCTCTGCAAAAAAAAACAGATAAACAAATGTACATAATCTATTAACTTAATACCTAGGTATTACTAAATTCTCTTTAACTTAATATTGAATTAAATGTTTTATCTGAATGCAACATTTACCTAAACTACAAATCACCATAACAACTAATTTCTAGCATAATTCCTCCATACACACTGTCCGCACACTTTAACCACTGATATTCAATAACCTTCATGCAATATTTAAAGAATTCCTTTTCTTCACTGTCCAGAACTGAGAAGATCTTCTACTATTAAGGCTCACCAACACACTTTAGATTATATAGCGCCAAAACAGCAATTTTGACGTCTCAACAAAGTCAATCCCTCAGCCACAAGAGATTTGAAAATGGGTACTAGGAATAGACCTTTTTCAATTTTGGAAATAAAACAGCGGTATGTTGGAGCAAGTACAGAAGAAATATTGGCACTGTTGAATCAATGGAAAGCCACAATCATTGACAGCAAGTAGAAGAAGATTTGTGAGCCTAAATAATTTAAGCAATAAGCAAAAGCATTGCCTTGTGACATTTTTTAGATGTCTGAAATGTTTCAAACATATTTACATCAGTTGGGACCAGGCATCTTTTGGGATATATACATACATCCTACATGTGTTGTCCTTTCATACAGACTAAATTAAGTACCCATTATGACCTTGAAGTGCTTGCATCTTTTTTTCAAAAGCTGTTAATTTTTGTTGTCCTGTTATAATTTACAAAATGTTTCTCATTGGACAATTTCCTGAACCATATTTTGCATCTGTTTGGGATTTTTCGAATTTTTTACAGTAAAAGTGATGTATGGAAGTTTACATAATGCTACTTTTATGACAAATTATTTGAGCCGTGCCACGACAAAACCAACATAATGGGTTTGCGACCAGCATGGATCCAGACCAGCCTGCACATCCGCGCAGTCTGATCAGGATCCATGCTGTTCGCTATCAGTTTCTCTACTTGTAATAGGATTTGTAAGCCAACAGCATGGATCCTGATCAGACTGCACGGATGCGCAGCCTGGTCTGGATCTATGCTGGCAAACCCATCAAGTTGGTTTTGTCATAACGTGGCTCATTTAACATTCAGTGCAACATTCTTCAGGTAATATGCTATAACATGATCTAAAATCAATAATAAGATGTTGTTAAACTCATGTTAACCCTTTCTTAAGAAGGAAAACTTTATTACTTTCTGTGGCATAATGTGCCTTTTTAAAGAGTGAAAGCTAGACTTTGGCAACTTTACAACAACATCTCTTGGAAAAGTTTAATGTAAATTTATAAAAAAAAAGTATCTAATTAGATTAATTTTATCATAGTAAACTTGTTCAATAAATTTAGTATTAAATCAACACTCATTTTATATTCCCCTTTCTATTACATAGAGAACGCATGACATTCAAGTGAAAAACTTTCATTTTCATTTTTATCCGACACAACTACTAGATTAATAAGAGTTATCTTACATAAAAACTAGACCGAGATATGTTCCTAGTCCAGCCAGTAAATGCCACCATGCATGCAGTTCCAGGAATGGTGATAGAGGACCTAGCAAGTCCCTTAATGATCTGTAATAAAAATACATGTAAACATAACACCAAAGTAAGATTAAAATTTCTCAACTGATTTCAGACATAAGGTATATAGCAATTTCTGTGCACAAACAAATATTAATGCTTAAAATCTTAAGTTTTTCTGGACTTAGACTACTTGATTAATCATTTAAAACCTCTAGATGAAAAACCACAAAGTATTTATGAATTTACTGTGTTTAATTTGCAACATGAAGATATACAGACTGAGTGCATTTTTTAAGGTGTAGTTTTTTTACTTTTCTATATTGTAACATTCATCTTTCATGAATATTTAGGATTTTTTCAAAGTAGACAAAAAAACATACACTTTCATGATAAAATGTTAAAAAAAACTACTGGCCATATCTGTATCAATCACCAAACACTAATTATGTTGGGTTGGGTTTTTTTGCACAATATGTCACAAAACAGATACATTTTTTTTACTCCTTTTGTATGCTTACCTTAAAATTCCACAAAATCCATTGTCAACATTCCACAAGAAAAAACCAAGGGCATATGCTGCTACTCCAACTAAAAATATTTTCTTATTGCATTTCTTTAAATTTCTGAATAAAAAGAAAAGGATTAATTTAAAAGTCTATATCAACTATATAGTTACAATAATACAAATGTACCGTGTCATGACAAAACCAACATAATGGGTTTGCGACCAGCATGGATCCAGACCAGCCTGCGCATCCGTGCAGTCTGATCAGGATCCATGCTGTTCGCTATCAGTTTCTCTACTTGTTACAGGGTTTGTAAGCGAATAGCATGGATCCTGATCAGACTGCGCGGATGCGCAGGCTGGTCTGGATCCATGCTGGTCGCAAACCCAGTGTGTTGGTTTTGTCATGACGCGGCTCAAATGTATATGTAAAAATAATGATTAATATCATAAAAATTCTGAATTGAATGCCAACAATTTTTTTTTGATACTTTTTCATATTTTTCCTTCAGAACATTCTAAGTTTGTGTTAGAGAAATTCAAAGTAAAAATTTTCAAGTCCATCAATTAAATAAAACAACATCATAATTTGAAATAGGTAAAAATATTACTAAAACTCATAAGAAACCTGGTCCTCATTTCTTATCGAGACCTGTTTGGTCTTTTGTCTTACTTTTATTGTTTTGAGTGCTTACAGAAATAAGACATCTGTCACCACTACAAGGCAAGGTTGGGCTGCAAATTTTGAAGTAAAAAAAAAAAGACAAAATTGAGCCGCGCCATGACAAAACCAACATAATGGGTTTGCCTCCGTGCAGTCTGATCAGGATCCATGCTGTTCGCTTACAAACCCTATAACAAGTAGAGAAACTGATAGCAAACAGCATGGATCCTGATCAGACTGTGCAGATGTGCAGGCTGGTCTGGATCCATGCTGGTCACAAACCCATTATGTTGGTTTTGTCATGGCGCGAATGAAGTTTGGCAACTGAAGTCTGACAACTGAAGTCTTACAAGACTGTAAACTATAATCTGCACTGTCTTAGTAGTAGGTTACAGAAATCCTATTTTTAATAAATGTTATTATCATGTAACGGGGCAAATTCTTTACACAAGTTTAGCTAGGTGGCCACAGGAACAATTAAAGTGATATCAACATTTACCTGATCAACCTGATGCAAGACACAACCATGCTTAACACCATTATGGCATAGGCAGTCTGAAATGATTTATTTACAGTACAGTAACAGTACCAGTTATAAAATCATGCAAAAAAAAACTTACAATTTTTTAGCAAATTATTGGCAAAAAATATCTTTACTTTTTTCAAAACAGAAAAAAATTTAAAATCTATCTTTGGTTTTTTATGAGGGAAATTAGGTTTTCAATTTATTTCGTAATACCAATTTCTCCTAATATATCACTAATTCAATTAAATGATATTATTGTTCTTAAAACAACCTTACAATAATTTTTTGCAAACCACACGGATGTGTTGGCAAAATGGATCAGTATAATTATATTAGGTCCCATATCTTAACATTTTTCTTTGTTTAAAGACAAAAAAATAAACATTAGAAAATCTAATGAAACAATAATAACATGTTTTCTGAACGAATCATGACAAATCATTCAAGTTGTGTATACTTACTAATGTGTTTAACAATAAGCCTAACTCTTCCACAAGTAAGGACTTGACAAATATGAAACTAAGATAAATACAAACTAAATTCAAATATTATAAGTTTGGATTCAAATATAATAAGTTCTGTTATAACTTTCATTTTGTTATACTTACTTGAAAGAACACTGGATAATTACATAATATATAAACCTGAAAGAATAAAATGTTAAATTTTGTCACTGAGATATATTTGTACTCCATGTTAAAAATATAGAAATAAATTTTAAGACATCATTGTGAAACTTAACATTCAAGACTTTAAAGGAAACAAATTTTATTGCATCCCCGAATGTTATTTCAATAAAATATACTTTTTTTTTACTTTCAAGTTTTAATAAAACAAGATATGTTTGTAAAACATGTATGCCCCCTATCAGCAGCCAATTATTCATGTGATAAGGTAATTATGCATGACTTCTGACCCAGTGATCAAACAATTAATAAGGGTTATCAAGTATCTACTGGTCATGACCTTGACCTTTGACCCCTTGACCCAAAACTCAATAGGGGTCATCTGCTGGTCAAGACCAATCATCATACAAAGTTTGAAGTTCCTAGGCCTAAGCGTTTTTAGTTAATTGATCAGAAACCGTTTTTACTTACAAGGTCAATGTGACCTTGACCTTTGACCCTTTGACCCCAAAATCAATAGGGGTCATCTGCTGATCATGACCAATCACTATGCCAAGTTTGAAGTTCCTAGGCCGAAGCGTTCTTTAGTTATTGATCAGAAACCGTTTTTACTTACAAGGTCAATGTGACCTTGACCTTTGACCCCTTGATCCCAAAATGGAAAGGGGTAATCTGCTGGTCATGAAAAATCACTATACCAAGTTTGAAGTTCCTAGGCCTAAGCGTTTTTAAGTTATTGATCAGAAACCGTTTTTACTTACAAGGTCGATGTGACCTTGACCTTTGACCCCTTGACCCAAAACTCAATAGGGGTCATCTGCTGGTCACCACCAATCATCATACAAAGTTTGAAGTTCCTAGGCCTAAGCGTTTTTAGTTAATTGATCGGAAACCATTTTTACCTACAAGGTCAATGTTACATGACCTTTGACCCCTTGACCCTAAAAACAATAGGTCATCTGCTGGTCATGACCAATCACCATACCAAGTTTGAAGTTCCTAGGCCTAAGGGTTCTTAAGTTATTGATCGGAAAGCATTTTTACCTACAAGGTCAATGTGACCTTGCCCTTTGACCCCTTAACCCCAAAATCAGTAGGGGTCATCTGCTGGTCATGACCAATTACCATACCAAGTTTGAAGTTCCTAGGCCTAAGGGTTCTTTAGTTATTGATCGGAAACTGCTTTTACCTAAAAGGTCAATGTGACCTTGACCTTTGACCCCTTGACCCCAAAATCAATAGGGGTCATTTGCTGGTCATGACTAATCACCATGCCAAGTTTGAAGTTCCTAGGCCTAAGGGTTCTTTTATTATTGATCCGAAACCGTTTTAACATACAAGGTCAATGTGACCTTGACCCTTTGACCCCAAAATCAATAGGGGTCATCTGCTGATCATGACCAATCACTATGCCAAGTTTGAAGTTCCTAGGCCGAAGCGTTCTTTAGTTATTGATCAGAAACCGTTTTTACTTACAAGGTCAATGTGACCTTGACCTTTGACCCATTGATCCCAAAATCGAAAGGGGTAATCTGCTGGTCATGAAAATCACCATACCAAGTTTGAAGTTCCTAGGCCTAAGCGTTTTTAAGTTATTGATCAGAAACTGTTTTACTTACAAGGTCGATGTGACCTTGACCTTTGACCCCTTGACCCAAAACTCAATAGGGGTCATCTGCTGGTCACCACCAATCATCATACAAGTTTGAAGTTCCAGGCCTAAGCGTTTTTAGTTAATTGATTCGGAAACCGTTTTTACCTACAAGGTCAATGTTACATGACCTTTGACCCCTTGACCCTAAAAACAATAGGTCATCTGCTGGTCATGACCAATCACCATACCAAGTTTGAAGTTCCTAGGCCTAAGGGTTCTTAAGTTATTGATCGGAAAGCATTTTTACCTACAAGGTCAATGTGACCCTTGCCTTTGACCCCTTAACCCCAAAATCAGTAGGGGTCATCTGCTGGTCATGACCAATCACCATACCAAGTTTGAAGTTCCTAGGCCTAAGGGTTCTTTAGTTATTGATCGGAAACTGCTTTTACCTAAGAGGTCAATGTGACCTTGACCTTTGACCCCTTGACCCCAAAATCAATAGGGTCATCTACTGATCATGACCAATCACCATACCAAGTTTGAAGTTCCTAGGCCTAAGGGTTCTTTAGTTATTGATCGGAAACTGTTTTTACCTAAGAGGTCAATGTGACCTTGACCTTTGACCCCTTGACCACAAAATCAATAGGGGTCATCTACTGATCATGACCAATCACCATATCAAGTTTGAAGTCCCTAGGCCTAAGGGTTTTCGTTATTGATGCGGAAACCGTTTTTACCTACAAGGTCAATGTGACCTTGACCTTTGACCCCCTTAACCCCAAAATCAATAGGGGTCATCTACTGATCATGACCAATCACCATATCAAGTTTGAAGTCCCTAGGCCTAAGGGTTTTCGTTATTGATCGGAAAACCGTTTTTACTACAAGGTCAATGTGACCTTGACCTTTGACCCCTTGACCCCCAAAATCAATAGGGGTCATCTACTGATCATGACCAATCACCATACCAAGTTTGAAGTTCCTAGGCCTTAAGGTTCTTTACTTATTGATCGGAAACCGTTTTTGCTTACAAGGTCAATGTGACCTTGACCTTTGACCCCTTGACCCCAAAATCATTAGGGCTCATCTACTTGTCATGACCAATCACCATACCAAGTTTGAAGTTCCTAGGCCTAAGGGTTCTTTAGTTATCACTCGGAAACCATTTGGTCTAAAAATTACTTACAATTGTAACAATAGCACAGTAAAGGAACAAGACAGTCTGTAGAGGAATGTTTGATTTGCCTGGGGGCTGCTCCACCATTAATCTGGTAAAAAAAGTAACAAAATATTAGTCTCATCTCATCTAATAGGAATTCTGTATCACAATAGTTAATACTCATGTTAAAAAAAAACAAGGATATTAAGTATGGCCATATCACACACAGGTGTAAAATCAGGTGTGCTTGTTGAATCAACTTGGTTAAGCCCTATCATGCTTTAGGTCTCTGCTAAAATCCTACATATATTGTGGCATATATATAGAAGATCAATTATTTTATATAACATATCAAAACTTATTTCATGACTAAATTACAGTTATTTTTTTTTGTTTGTAGAAACAAGAGGGCCATGATGGCCCTGAAGCCGCTCACCTGTATATAGGCCCCCAGAGTGGGGCCAGTTTAAACCCAAGGGCCTTTATTTGAACAAACTTGGTAGACACCCATTACAAGATGTTTTATGCTAAACATCTAAGGTCCAGCTCGTTGAGTTTAAAAAAAAAGAAGATTTTTTAAGTTTTAACTATACACATATAGTTCAAAGCAATGACACCCCTAGGGCGGGGCCAGTTTTGCCCCTAGGGCTTTTTTCTTTAAACAAACTTTGAAGACACTCACTAGAAGATTATTTGCTTAATATCTTAGCTCTAGCTATTTGGTTTTTTTCAAAGAAAATTGTTTAGTTTTTGCTATACACATATAAGGAAAATCAATGTCCCCCAATGCAGGGCCAATTTTGACCCTAGGGCTTTTATTTGAACAAACTTTGAAGACACTAACTGGAAGATGTTTAATGCTTAATGTCTTAACTCTAGCTCTTTGTGTTTTTTCAAAAAAGATTTTTTAATTTTTTGCTAAACACATAAATTAAATCAATGACCCCCGGGGCAGTGCCAATTTTGACCCCAGGGCACTTATTTGAACAAATTTGGTAGACACCCATTAGAACATATTTCATGCTAAATATCTTTGCTCTAGCTCTTTGGGTTCTTTAAAAGAAGATTTTATAAGTTTTTACTATATGCATATAGGGAAAATCAATGACCCCCTGGGGCGGGGCCAATTTTGACCCCAGGGCTTTTATTTGAACAAACTTGATAGACACTCATTAGAAGATGTTACATGCTAAATATCTTAGCTCTAGCTCTTAAGAAGATTTCATAAGTTTTTACTATATGCATATAGGGAAAATCAATGACCCCCTGGGGCGGGGCCAATTTTGACCCCAGGGCTTTTATTTGAACAAATTTGGTAGACACCCATTAGAAGACGTTTCATGCTAAATATCTTAGCTTTAGCTCTTTGGGTTCTTTAAAAGAAGATTTTTTAAGTTTTTACTTTATGCATATAGGGAAAATCAATGGCCCCCTGGGGCGGGGCCAATTTTGACCCCAGGGCTTTTCTTCGAACAAACTTGATAGACACTCACTAGAAGATGTTTCATGCCAAATATCTAAGCTCTACCTCTTTGGGTTTTTTAAAAGAAGATATTTTAAGTTTTTTCTATCGGTTGCCATGGCAACCAGAGTTTTGCATGGAATTAAATTCTTTGAACAATTTTTAAAGGTGATTACCAAAGGAACATTCCTGTGAAGTTTGGATGAAATTGGCTCAGCGGTTTATGAGGAGATGTCATTTAAAGTAAAAGTTTACGGACGGACGACGGACGGACGAACTTATGGACAGACGACGGAGAAGTGATCCCTATATGTCGCCACTACTCCGTAGAGGCGACACAAAAACTCAAATGTTGAAGCTGTATGATGCACAACTCCGTGGTCAGGTGAGCTAAAAATATTTCAGTATTCATGCATCAGTAACATCAACACTGCAAATAGGGAACATTAATATGAAACTTGTTTCAGACTAGAAAAATAACCTTTCAGCTTGTGGAGAGACCATATTATTCAGGAAATTTATCTGAAACAAGTCTTATTATACTTATTTTCCCTGATGATGACAAAAAACAAGGAAATGTTATAAAAATCTTATTCAAGTTCTCATTTACCAGTAAATATAATCCTACAATTTTAATATATTTCTGTTTCAAAAAGTTTTCAAGGAAGTTAACGTGTATAAAATTATATTTATGTTGATAATATTTTTCAAGATTATTGTTAATTTTTCTATATTATTTCTACATACAACATTCAAAGTAAGTTTAAAACCTTATTTCTTAATACTTAATTTCTCATTTATACAGAACAAATTATGTAAGAAAGTAGTTCAAGCAATATTTTAGACAGTGCTTTTAATTTTTGTGCCTCTCTTTCATCAATCTCTAAAAAGAAAATATTTGTTTAAATAAATTATGTATTTTAATTAAACAGAAATATAAATAATTATGTTTTACATTATAATGTATTTTTACAATAAATTGTGGTGTTATATAAATCTAAATTTCCACATATCAGGTGAAAAGAAATATTTTTCTCTTGATTATTTTCAAGAAATTTAAATCCAAAATTCAAAGTAAGTTTAAAACTTTATTTTATATACAAAATTTCTCATCAATATTGGATGAATTATGTAAGAAAGTGTTACATGAATATTCGAATGAGTGTTTAATTTTAGCGTCTCTCTTATATCGAAATTCTGAGAACAAACATTAAAATTTACATAATAGAGAAGAAAAAATACCACAACCAAATAGAGACAAATATACAATATTCTTGATCAATTGATATCTACACCAAATTATTTATCTTATGTTTCATAATGTCCAGATTGGCTCTCCTGTTCTGTTCTGTTCTAGGACATAAAGGACAAATAAGTAACAAGTAGAAGTATGTGATAAAATCAATTTGACCGCTGACTATAAGAATTTTCTCTTTTACTAATATATTACAGAATGTTTCAAGAACCGGACTACAGAGAAAACTTATCATTGATGTTATCAGAGGTTTTACATGACATTGGTGTCAATGAAAGAACTGTGATGGGAAGGAGAAGACATTTCATGCTACTAGAGACTATATGGAATATCAAGAACAGACTAGCTGATACAAACTTGACTTACTATTCTCTGGGGAGTAACAGTGAAGGTACAACTACTATAGGACTTCAATCAGACATTGATGTACTAGGATATTTTAGTAATTTCAATATAATACAAGACTGGTCAGAGTGGGAACATGGCAAGGATAACTTCCTCATGATACAGGATGAGAACACTACTCCTGGGTATTGTTTCTTACAACGACTCAGAAATGATGAACCTCTTCCTCTCACTGTCATTCCTGATGAACATTTTATTCTTGACAGAAGAGGAAGAATATTGCATCAAAACACAATTATATATAATTTTCTTCAAGGTGCTCAGCAGCGGCATGGACCAGCTATTGCTTCACAAGGAGAACCTGGAGTTTCTGATAGTGACAGAGTATATGCTTTACATTGTAAATCATGGCCTCAATCAGCATCAGGTTGGTTAGATAGACAGGGTATTGGCAGATGGCCAACACAAGAGATGAGAAGATATGCAGCCAGTACTGGGTTTTTTGTTGTTCCAACTGGAAGTAAGGTCAGTGAATATCCTGAACTGGAATGGAGAATATCTACATCATTGACAGAAAGATGTCTTATGATTAATCTGAATATAACACAAATAAGGTGCTATGTACTATTTAAAATGATTCTTAAGTCCTTCCTTAATCCTCAAGATGAAATCAACATATCAAGTTTCATGTGTAAAACAGTTCTATTACATTGTATAGAAAACACAGAGTCTGGAATATGGAAAGATAACAATTTATATACATGTTTAACATACTGCTTATTGGAATTACACAGTTGTGTACAAAATGACTGTTGTTCACATTTCATTATACCGGAAAATAATTTGATGGCAGGGCAATTTACAGCTGAGACAAAACATGAACTTTCAAAAAATATTTGTGATTTTATACAGAATGATAGACAACGGTTACTAAGTATTGATATTGATGATGTTGGTCATAGACTTCAAGTTAAACTGAACAGGGTACCACATGCAATTAACTATTTTCCTTCTCTTATAATATATGAAACTGTTATGACGGAGTTATATATGAACATTGCAACTAGCATAAGTTGTCAGCATATGCTTTTTTAAACCTTTTAGACAATAAAAACTTTAGAACAATAAAACAATATGTAGGTAAACTAAAAACCTTCATTGATAATGGTAATAGATTAGATCATGCTACTTTCAAGCTTCTAGCACCTTTTGTTTTTACCATGTATGGATCTATCCTAGCATCTTACAGCATTGGTGAAAATAATCAAGTGTCACCTCAAGCATTGGTTTGGCTATCAGCTGGTTTAAACTCAGATATCTCATCTAGCAGACTTAAACTGGCTTCAGTGTTTTACAGTACAGGAGATATGGAGAAAGCTGAACTAATTCTGAGGCACACAGAACAACAATATTACTCTTATCCTGTTTTACCTATCTGTGGATGCTATATTCATCCCCAAGAAGCAGTAACAGAAGAATTTGAGAGATTATGTGGTGAGCAAAGTGAGAACTGTATCAAGCATATTACAACATTTTGTGTCAGATTTATACAGGGAGAGATCAACTGTGTTCCTCATGAACTACAGTATGAAATGTTCAGATCTACACAAGATGACATGATACACAGAGATGAGGATAAAGACTGTTGGATGGACTGGGCTGTAGTTGATTCTCTACCTTTCTTGTATTTCCTACAATACAAGATCTATTGTCATCTACAAAGACATCAAGATCAACAACAAGCACTTGGTAAACTTATAAGAACCATAGAAACAGATAAAAACCTCAGACATAGAGAAACAGCTCTAAACATTTTAGGACAATGTATGGAACAAGAAAACAGACCTCAAGTAGCATTAAAATGCTACATGCTTTCTCTTCGACAAAGGGCAAGGAACAATGTTGCAAACATCCATTTATGTAAGCTCCTTTCTGGCTTACTGGTTAGCCAATAAACTTAGATAAAAAAAAGAATGTATGAAGACTTTAGTTTTCAATGATATTAAACAGCTAAAATGACAAAATGTAGGCCTGTCATTACACTTTTTATCACATATTATTTTGAAATATCATTAAACATGTTAAATTGAAAGAATGATTCCACATTCATTGACTTGGAATATCTGACTTTACATTTAAGAGTTAAGAGCATATTGTGTAAAGGACCAGTATTGCTTGTGAAAATGTATTTCAAATTTTGGTTTATAAGGTGAAGTTTTTTTCAAAGCTTTTTTTATACAGTAGTCAAAACAGTTTTAGCTTCTATTGCTGGCAATATTTATTAAAAGTCTTGTTTTATAAATGTTTCTTGTAGTTCTTGTTCTTATTTTATAGTTTGAACCCTGTATACATCTGTATGTAGTCAAGTGCTTATTTTATATATGTACCCTGTATATCAAATGACCCTGTTTTAAATGCAGTCATCAGCCACAATTGTCTCAGGTCAATAGGAATAATGAAATAGTCAACTGTAGAATGTACAAAACAATACAAGAGGGCTATAATGGCCCTATATCACTCCACTAAATTTTTAGAAAAAGTCACAATTCTTAAATGCTAAGGCAAGTCATTAGGAGGGATCAATTTGGATCAAAGGGGTATGATTAAATCAATTTGTATAGGTGTTCACTAGGCAATGCTATTATAATAGAAGATTTTTTGTTGTTTTTACTATATAAATGTGAGGAAAATCAATGACCCCCCGGGGCAGGCGCCAATTTTGACCCAAGGGCTATAAATTGGAACAAACTTAGTAAAGGTCAACTTTTATTTGAACAAACTTGGTATTCACTCACTAGAAGATGTTTTATGCTAAATACCTTAACTTTAGTTCTTTGGTAATTTTTTTTTTTTAAAGATTTTGAAGTTGTTTTCTTTTAGTTGCCTTGGCAAACAGACTTCTTCATCGAATTCAATTCTTTAAATAATTTTAAAAGGTGATCTCACAAAGAACATTCCTGTAAAGTTTAGATGAAACTGGCTAAGCGGTTTATGAGTAGATGTTGTTTAAAGTAAAAGATTATGTATGGCTGTTCACAAAATTGCAAATCACAAAAGTTCACCTTGTCACTTTGTGACAGGTGAGCTAAACAAGAGGGCCATGATGGCCCTGAAGTCGCTCACCTGTATATAGGCCCCCGTAGCGGGACCAGTTTAAACCCCAGGGCTTTTATTTGAACAAACTTGGTAGACACCCATTAGAAGATGTTTCATGCTAAACATCTAAGGTCTAGCTGGTCAAGGTTTTACTTTACACATATAGTTAAAAACAATGACACACCTGGGGCAGGGCCAGTTTGAACCTCAAGGGCTTTTATTTGAACAATCTTTGTAGACACTTACTAGAAAATATTTCATGCATAATATCTGAACTCTAGTTATTCGGATTTTTGGAAGAAGATTTTTAAGTTTTTGCTATACACATAAATTATAAAGAAAATCAATGACCCCCAGGGTGGGGCCAATTTTGACTTACTAGAAGATGTTTCATGCTTAATATCTAAACTCTAACTATTTGGGTTTTTTCAAAGAAGATTTTTAAGTTTTTGCTATACACATATAAGGAAAATCAATGTCCCCTGGGGCGGGGCCAATTTTGACCCCAGGGCTTTTATTTGAACAAACTTTGTAGACACTCACTAGAAGATGCTTCGTGCTTAATATCTAAACTCTAGCTATTTAAGTTTTTTCAAAAAAGATTTTTTAAGTTTTTGTTATACACATATAAGAAAAATGAATGACCCCCGGGGCGGGGCCAATTTTGACCCCAAGGCTTTTATTTGAACAAACTTGGTAGACACTCACTAGAAGATGTTTCATGCTTAGTATTTAAACTCTAGCTATTTGGGTTTTTTCAAAAAAGATTTTTTAAGTTTTTGCTATACACACATATAAGGAAAATCAATGACCCCCAGGGCGGGGCCAATTTTGACCCCAGGGCTCTTATTTGAACAAACTTGGTAGACATCCATTAGAACATGTTTCATGCTAAATATCTTAGCTCTAGCTCTATAGGTTCTTTAAAAGAAGATTTTTTAAGTTATTACTATATGCATATAGGAAAAATCAATGACCCCCGGGGCGGGGCCAATTATGACCGCAGGGCTTTCATTTGAACAAACTTGGTAGACACCCATTAGAAGATGTTTCATGCTAAATTTCTTAGCTCTAGCTCTTTGGGTTCTTTGAAAGAAGATTTTTTAAGTTTTTACTATATGCATATAGGGAAAATCAATGACCCCCTGGGGCGGGGCTAATTTTGACCCTAGGGCTTTTATTTGAACAAACTTGGTAGACACTCACTAGAAGATGTTTCATGCCAAATATCTAAGCTCTAGCTCTTTGGGTTTTTTAGAAGAAGATATTTAAAGTTTTTTCTTTTGGTTGCCATGGCAACCAAAGTTCTGCATGTAATTAAATTCTTTGAACAATTTTCAAAGGTGACCACCAAAGAAACATTCCTGTGAAGTTTGGATGAAATTGGCTTAGTGGTTTATGAGGAGATGACGGAGGACGCCGGACGGACGCCGGACGAAAAGACAAAAGCTCACCCTGTCACTTTGTGACAGGTGAGCTAAAAAGTTTAGATAAAAATCTTTAACTTACATGTTATATATCAGAAATGCTGATCCCCAAATCATTGGAAGCTCATCCAAAAGCTGAAAATACAAGGGAATATCTGTAAATATGTGAAAATACAAGGAAATATCTGAAAATATGTGAAAATACAAGGAAAATATATGTGTGGAAAAAAAAAACACATATATAAAAACATTCCAATAACTCAAGAGCTTGACTATTTTTCAGCAAAGGGAAGGGTTTGAAGAAAAGCCATGACCTCCTGGGGCCCATTGGAACAATCCTGGCAAGTTTTGTTGAAATAAGAGAAAGAAGATTATTTAAGCTCATTATATATTTTCATGTATTAGATAAACACATACACAGATGCTGCGGTGGCATATAAAGCTAAAAACTATGTTTGTTGTTAACTTTTTTGCACTGAACAAATCCACACAAAAAAATTTGTGAGATATTTTGACTAAGAGGTGATGTTTTGCCCAAAAATGTTTAAGGTTTAATTTGGAACCCTTTGATTAGCTATTTTTCGCTACATAATGAGCTTATAGTAGAGGTTGCACAGCATGTTTGGTTTCAATTTTCTAGGCCAACATTAGGACTCATCCCCTTCTTCAAAATGGTATGCTTTTCCTCTACTTTTAGCAAAATTTTCCTTTAAAACATTCAAGTATAAACTTCAGTATAAACTGTCAGTTGTTGTCAATAATTTCATCATATATGTGAATGATACTATGACACAGCTGAACTGTCTTATAAGCCCAGCTGTTACCTTCATGCAAATGCCGAAAGATCACTAGGTAGTAGGTCAAGTGAAGAATGATTGAAGCAAAAATAAAAAAGTAACCTGCATGCTATAAAGCAATGTCATATGAAAACACCATGATCCTATACCGACACCTGAAACAAAAACATAAATCATAAACAATGCATTGCATTGAACACTATGTTATTTGTAAAATCTCATGACATGTATTAATTATGTTCATTTTCAAACATTTTACTGAACATCTGTCTTACTGGATTGATAATATCACTTCTATTAAAATTGAACACATATAAATTATTCAATAAAATATTTCATAATAGATTATTCAAGCTATTCTTTTTGTGGGCTGATTAAATTTATTCTACGTAAAAATTGCTTCACTTACAATCAATCACAAATTCTTGTTCTGTATTGACAAACCTGATTTATTTCACCGACAACCTTTCATCACTTTGGTTATAATTATTCATTTTGACAATGATTAGAGGAATGAGATGGATGGTATTAAATTATCTTTTTAAATTTGTATGTTAAAATGTTCTTGACCAACAAATAAGAAAAAAACAATGTCGTCATTGCGGATTCAGTGGCAAACATGGACTCTTTAACCCTGTGGGTTCTAACCCTGTCAGGGGCAGGTTGTTGTTTCCTTAAGCAACAAACTTTACACTTATTTCTCAGTACTGATTGACTCCAGGAATGGATACGAAAGTGTGTCTCTAAGCTTATAGCTTCTTACACAATCAAACTTAAATAAATTCTGTATTAACTAAATAAGAACTTCAAAATATCCAAATGAAACTTGTTGATCAATACAAAAAAGTAATGCTCTTTTAGAAACGCTGATCGACAATAACATCATTGAAGAAATGTCAGCACTTTAAACAAGGTGAAGGTTGTTAACTTACGGAAAATACCTTGTCAGAAAAAGTGTGTTTAACATGTTGAAATCCATTATGTAAAGACAGAAATTAATATTTAATAATATTTGAAATTCTGAAGAGGAGATGATTATTAAAAAGACAATTTTTTTCTTGTCGGAATGGCAGCCACTTGGTTCTTGTGTGACAATAGTAACAGTTGGTCAGTTATTTGCCTACTAAATAGCTGACCTACAGTACTTATAACAGAAAAAGAGCGAAACTAAAAAAAGGATTGGAGGACCACATTTAATACCATATTCCGGTACATACCGGACAAGACGCTTGAATGTTTAAATGCTAAAATCATGCCTTTTCACCTTGCGGAATGAACTTTAAAACATCTAAATCATCTTTTCACACCGATTTATGTATGATAGTGAATGAAAAATGTAATAATCGGTGAAAAAAACGATATTTGTCTATTTTGTGATCATGATTTCTGCAAGCGTCTAGAGGCACTGCTCCAATCCTGTACTGAGTTAAATCCATAGAAATATAGCGGGTCACCATATGACTACTCCTATCCAAGAAACATGCTAGTTGTTAGTGGGAAGTAAAATAAACAAATTAAGTGATGCAGTGTTTTATCAACTTACTCAGCAAGCTTAAATGACATGCTATCAATCTGTGTTCTAATTGTTGTTTGATCAGAAGAAACACTGTAACCAGAGGAGGTACTATCATGGATACATTGCTCAATGTATTCCCTGAAAATATATTGTATAAAATTTATAACAGACGTCAAAGATACACATTTCATCCAAAAAGCATTAAATGTTGTTACACAAAATATCATTGAAATAAATATCAAGTTCATGCAAATGTTGTTAATTCCCAAAGTGTTTTCAGAATCAGGTATATATGTAAATTTATGTTATTTAATAATTCATCAATGAAAAGCGATATTTTTCAACTTTGTGATCATGATTTTTGTAAGTGTCTTTAGGTACTGCTCCACAGTAGTGAGTTCAATCTGCAAGAAATAATGAATGACACATTGAAAACGAAAACTGTAAAATGAAAAATGAACAACTTTGATATTAAATAACAGATTTATCTGACTTCCCAATTCATACATATAGGTTGTACTCATAGGTTTTGTCTACTTTCATATTACCATATTAGTCCTATAACATAAGACGTTTCCATTAGTACTATATGTACACTCCAACAACTTATCGACTTCTTCATAAGTTACTTTCGCAAAACGCGCAGCGATTTTGAAGCGCTATATGAACCGTCATAATTTACTACAAAAACAATATTTTGAGTCAAAAGATATGCAGACAGTAAATTTAAACAATTTTGCATCAATGTGCAGCAAAAAAAATAAATGACTCACCTTCGAATGTAAATAAATCCAATCTAATTCAATTTATACCTGACTTTCACCGCTATATACATTCGGCCATTTAACCTGTATACATGTGGGCGCATTTTGCTAAAGGAACTTATGAAGAAGTGACAGTTGATAAGACGTTGGAGTGTATGAAGTACTAACGGAAACGTCTTATGTTATAGGACTAACTACCATATGTCAGCTTAACATGCATAGATATTTATTCAATAAAAATCCAGTTTTGAGCCTCTGAATCCTGCTGAAAATCCAGTTATAGCCCATTTCATTTAGGCCTACATATGGCATAATAGGAAAAGACCGTCACAACTTTGAATAGTCCAACTACAGGCTTTCAAGTGGCCAATAACAAAAAAGTAGGGATAAAAGTAGGAATTTTTTTGTTAAAAAGTAGGGAAAAGTAGGGATTTTCAGAGCCTAAAAGTAGGGAAAGTAGGACTCTCTACTCACCTTATTTCCAAAGTTGATACAAAAACAAATACAGACCCTTATCAACTAGTATCCATGGCATTTTCTTCATTTAGGAAACCAGTCACCAGTGTCTCAATAGGGATTCCACAACAGGATGGATCTGGGCATGAACCTGGAATTGATATTTTTTTTATTAGATTCAATTCCAAATAATAACAGAAAACTATTAACAATGAATATGTCAGAACACAGACTATTAGCAACATTAAACATTAAGTAAGCATGTTTTTTGTACACAGACTAAAAACAGGAAATGTGTTAAAACCTTGTTTAAGATAACATGGTTGTTACAAAATACAAACTAGAAAAATGTTATGTGCAAAAATATGGTTTTAGCTAGCATAATATGTGAAACACAGACTATACCAAGGATAGGTGTTAAAACATGATTTTTTAACTAGCATTATAACACAATAGAAAATGAAAAGGAGTTAATGTTAAAAAAGCAAAGGTTTACTAGCATCCTAGTTATGCATGGAGTTTACATGGGCATGCAAAATAGATACTTGTAACAACCAAAAGTAAATTTTAAGATATATACATGTACACAAGCAGTTAGTATGCAAAGTTAGTACATGCAAAAACTGACAAATCAAAGCAAGGATTTACACTTCATAATGTATTAATTAATCCCCCAACATATTAAAGCTATCAAATTCTATCTAATTAAAGCATACATATTTTTCAGAAACACTCACTACATTTTTCCAGTATCTTTCATTCAATGAAAATTCAGGACAAAATGATCACAGTGAGCAACTTCAATACTTGCCAATATGCCAAACATTGCCTAAAATCTATATATGCTCAAAGATGTTGGCAAGTATTGTCCCTCAGCATAAGCATCATTGGGAAACAATTGAGAAGCTAGTCTGTGTACAAAAACATAATATAATTTTGAAATGAAACAATTGAGAAGCTAGTCTTTGTACAAAACATATTATAATTTTGAAATGAAACAATTGAGAAGCTAGTCTTTGTACAAAACATATTATAATTTTGAAATGAAACAATTGAGAAGCTAGTCTGTGTACAAAAACATATTATGATTTTTAAATGAAACAATTGAGAAGCTAGTCTGTGTACAAAAACATATTATAATTTTGAAATGAAACAATTGAGAAGCTAGTCTGTGTACAAAAACATATTGTGATTTTGAAATGAAACAATTGAGAAGCTAGTCTGTGTACAAAAACATATTATAATTTTGAAATGAAACAATTGATAGGCTAGTCTGTGTACAAAAACATATTATAATTTTGAAATGAAACATAAAAAATAATTTGAACACTAAGTAATATTTCTATAGAAGCAAACTCACCTAAAGTTGCTGATTCTGCCATGTCAGCTCCAACCATCCTCATCATGGAACCCCTCTTGCACCACTGATGACCTACTTCCATCAACTTTTTCCTACAATTAAACTTGCATCTGATTCTTATTAAATTTGAGATAAAGATTTTATCAAAATCAATCTACTACTTATACTGGAGTTTTTATCAATTATCCTCGAGCTTTTTTCTTAAAAAAGTAGGGATAGTAGGGCATTTCAAGAAAAAAGTAGGGAAAAGTAGGGGTCAAACAAAAAAAGTAGGGAAAAGTAGGAAAAATAGGAAAAGTAGGGCCCACTTGAAAGCCTGCAACTATTAAATTGGACTGCGCGATGAGCTCAGCAACATCTCGCCTCTACAAAAGTGAAATTCTGACCCAGAACGAAAATATCTCAGAATCAAGCTTTGGCACGTCAATATATTAGCGAGCTATTTCACGGGAAAAGTAAATCAAGCTCTCTTTGAGGCTTTGCCTTTTTCATACGGGGAAGTCAAAGGCCAGGACCACGAAGACTACACCTGCATATTTAAAAGGAAATGAAATAAAAAAAACAATAAAAAAATATATAAAATTCTAAACCTATCAATGAATTTTTCAGTGTCAGTTTTAGTTGGGCGCCGCCATTTTCAATATAACTCAATAATAATATGCAAGGTATTCCGGTAACGAACAATCGCAACTTTTTGGATTAATAATAATTATCGATTGTTCCGAGTGAAACCAGAAGCGGTTTGTGTAATACCGAATGACACAATAAACGAATTTTAATCGACTTCCCTTTTCATAGGCTTTGTCTAATTTCATATTATTTTGACTAAACTCTCAACAGGCACCCTTCTGAACAGAATATACAGTTATTTACACATTCTTTATCAACGTTTCATATACATTGATTTCTTTAATGTGAAGAAAAAATATTAACAGTCTTACTAAATAAGAAAAAAAAAAGATTTTTATCAACATATGGAGGGGTCAAAAACTATAACAACGCATATTGCGTTTGTTTACATTTTATTTTACGTATCGGTATGTCAAAAATTAGCACATAATTTTAAGGTTGTACATTGTTTATCTGGTTTAATTGCATACTTTACAATCGTCTACCTATTATATACGAAGAAACTTACAGAATTCTGCTATGAAATGTGTCACATCGTAGTTTTCTTCACACCAATCCAACGTTGATGTCGGAGAACCCCAATACCCGGGCGCCATCTTTGTTTACCTATATTTTGTATTTTGGTGTGTTTGTTTTGTTGTTATAGATACTCGGCGAATTATGTTCCAATAAAATTTGCCAGCTCAAGCGTTGAAAAATTTAACCGAATCTAAAAGCCTTTTACATGAAATGGAAAATAGTAAATTTGCAAAGTTGATTTAAATAATGGAAAAATACTTTTGATAATAATGTACAAGGTAGCATAATAACACCTAATGAAGGCCATTAAAAGAAATACGCTGAATAAAAGTACACAACTGTAGATTAGTCAAGGCCTCTGTGTTTGACATGCGATTTTATAGGCCTAGATAAGCGGCCAGGTCATAGTAAACGGGCAAATTTGCTATTCAATAATCTTTTTAATAATGATTTTAAATCTTATTTAATTGTATCTGACATAGAAACACCGTGCATATCCAGTAACGCAGGAATATGCAAATAACGGAAAAGTAACGCCGAATCTGTGCAACGATATTGCCAAAACGAATAACACAGTATACTGTGCTCCTCTTAGTTCACGGTACTTAACACTTTAAAACAGTAAAGAACACAAACAAAAACTTACACTACAAAAAACTGTCATAAATTGTATCATTTAGTCATTTTTTTCTGCTATAAATGGCACAAGGAAACAACAATATATTCAATCAAAATTAGTTTTAATTTGTCAGATGTAGACCGTGTGTCGGCCATTTTGAAAAACAGTATGTCATCATTTAACTCGCCCGTAAATGGTGTTTTATTTCAGTTTTTTTTCCTGTTTCCAGTTAAAATTTTCTTTATGTTATTTTGCAATAATTTTTAAATATTAAAAGTATCTTTTAACATTGTAACTCAAAATTTATTTTTTCAAAACACACAAAAACATTTTAGAAAATGATGATTGTTTCAGAGCGTATGCCCCAAATTTAATGGACAATTGTTGTTTTTTGCCGAAGTTTGAAAAATGTTGTTCAGTTTTACGTAAAAATCTATAGATTTAGATTTTATTTTGCACAAAAACTTTGTTGTTAGGTGTTTTGAATAAAATATGTCAATTTTCTGACCAATTTTTTTTAATGCTGGTCACATGAAAATATGCCATTAACCGTGAGATTTTTAGTGATGACGGCAGAATTAGTGATGTTGAGTATAAGTAAACGAACCAAAATATTGCATTCTAAAATCAAAATTCAAAAGAAATTAAATAAGCGCATACGGCTGCTACGACATTATACTTTAAAACCAGCATTAATAATTTTATTTTTTCAGGAATATGTTTACTTCTTTATAGATCATTCGCGAAAAAGACAACCTGAATTACCAAATTTTGAAAAGGGGGACCCTTTTTTTGTTTCATCAAAAATAAATATGTTCATTTAACCAAATTTAAAAAATTAGTTTTTTATAGTTTGTCAAACTACAAGTGTCGTATAAACAATAGTAAGAAGCTTGGGGTAAAATAGGATTTAGTTACTTTTAAATGGGATAATCGCTGTTTCCTTCAAGTGTTTTCATTCACGAATTTCGGCGTTACCCTTGCAAAATGGTCTCAATTACGTTTTATCTGCTAAACTAAGTGTTAAAATGACACGAGTAGATTGGAAAATGTCTCAGGTACAAAGAATATAAAAAATCATAAAGTAATATGTACGTTATTGTATTTTAAAGATAATAAACTAAACTAAAATCGTCATCAATACGGTAGTCCAGGTCGTCATTTTCACGAATGATCTTGAAAAATAAACAATTTCATGGAAAAAATAAGGAAACATTTTTGATGAGGTTTAAAGTATAATGTCTCCCAGCAACCTTATGCGCTATTTTTTTCTTTCCAATTTGGTATACAATAAAAAATATTGGTGAATTTGCTTATCGTGGTGCTCATTTTAGCCACTAAATTTCCAAATTTCTGCCGTTACTTTTGCACAATTCCTGCATTATTTTGCAAATTTATGCGTTACTGGATATACACGGTGTAGAATCTTTTGGTGGTGATTTTGATGAGGATATTTGCCAAAACTTATTATAGATCTATAACAAAGTTTTGAATTGAATTGAATTGATGACTAATATATCTGCTTAGGAAGTATCAATAAGAAATTTCATACTGAATTTTACTTAACTTTTAACGTTTTGCCTGGAAACACCTAATGGGACCGGGACAAACATGTGTATTCATTCAGCTCCTTACACTTACGTACGCAGTTCAAGACTTATAAACACGTTCCCAAGAAAAAAAAAACGTTTGTACTACACCATGCATGGACATAAAAAAAGGTAAAATAAGAAGAAGAAAGGAACTATTATTTTGTTTCCTGTGACGTTTCTCTATTATAAAAGATGTAAAAGTATTTAAAAACAAGCAAAACATCGCAAAGCAGTTCGTAAAACATTACAATAATTGTCATATAATCAATGTGCTGGTATATATTTACGTTTCTTAAAATATGAAGAATGATGATAAGAAAATACTATATATATCATATAAATGCTATGCAAATAACAACTACGATGATGAAAGAAAAGAGAAATATAAAGGTGTGATCAGGACGATGGTGTTAGCAAATATTAGAAATTACATGTAGCTCGTTATATATAAAGCGCTGATCATGAAAAGTGTATCCATCTGGACAAAACAGTGGATAATTCGATTCAACGCTGCTAAAACTGAAGTAATGTATTTTTCACTTTCCATGAATAATTATAGTGACACTCTCAAACATTTACTTACATCAAAATAAATATTCTTATTTTCGTTTATTCTCATAAAGTATTGGGGTTACATTAAAGGGAGAAATGGTATAATGGCATCAACATAATTAATTATTTCGAATATTACCCAGAGACATAGATAACATATATATACTAAAAATAATTGTGACATTAACTGGATTTTCTCAATTTGATTTATTGCCTACCGGTTTCTTATAATTACCAGGGCAAATAAACATAAACCATAGTTTATATATATTACCAAACCTGTTCTCTAAAATCCTTGCAACGATGGAATACTCGATTTTAAATTAAAAAGAAAAGGGCTTAACCAAATTAGTTCTATATTTTAATTGAAAAAAAAGTGTCAAGAAGTTGAATTTGTCGTTTAATGTTTTGTAAATTGTATATACTGTATGCGTTTTTTACATTAATTCAAAACTTATAATGAGCATATTTTTCCATTCAAAAATTGATAAATCATAAAATTTGGCAGATACTAAAAAAAAATTTTTCAAATTTGATGTTTAAAAAATATTCAATTGTTTACCTTCTTACATGAATATTTGACATGAACAGAAATGGTGTTGACTCTACCCAGTCACGGGAAACCGAATTAAGAGGCATCCAACGGTAAATTTTTATGTTATGTTTCTAAAATACTATTAAAATGATTATTGATTTTGCTATGACAGTGACTGTCCTCGCTTTAAGGACTTACTCACCTAAAAATGTACAAAACATGTAAAAAGGATAACAATGTACAGTTTGTTATTGGATCGGAAACTACTTATTTTTCCAAAACATGTACAAAAGAGGAACATCGATTATTTAGCGAAAAGTGTCATAAAGACAAAGGGCAGGTAATCCAGACTATGCATATACTCGAATTAGTGTGACCATATAAATATATATATATTATATATATATATATATATATATAATATATATATATATATATATATATATATATATATATATATATATATATATTATATATATATATATACAATTCTTAAACAGTTATTAAGTTTTCGAGGTTTGCCAAATATTTGGATACAATTAAAAAAATTTATTGCACCTTATTAGGATAGCTGCCTCAAATATATAATACAGAAAATACAAATCTATATCAAACGGACATAAAAAAGAGTTATCGTAAAATTTCTTAATCTCCAATGAGATTATTATATAAAAAAGACAATTATTTATAAATAAAGCCAAAATGTCCACTCTTGCAATTGCAGAATTTTTTAACTTCTAATCCCACTGGAAACGTCATATCAAAATTTTAAACCAAAGAAGTTGTTTCTTGTGTACTTCAGAAACGTCAAAATTGCTAACTTTCAACAGATAGTTTCGTCACCAGCTTTTAGTTCTGCCAGAGTAGATACATAACTGCTGTAACCTATTTAGATACATGTTGCAGGAAACCATTCTCTTGGCTGAATGTGGGAAGCGATTTCTGTTTCCCGTTCGGATTAATATGTTGAATTTGAAGATACTATGTTCAATACTATCGCTAGAGTCGGGGGTATCTGGATTTTCCGCATATTTGCACGGCTGGTAGAAGTTGATAAAGGAGTATATATAGTATGTACCGGATACAGGGTACCACTAGCCGACCATTTCTGTAACGCACACCCGTATCTTATGAAGCCGTCTGTGTAGTAAAGTTCTCGGCCATTGGCACCCATTCTCGTATAGCATTCATTTTCCCGCCAATATCAGCTGAAAGACAAAATGGAAGGATATTTATTTTTGTTTTTGTATTAGAACATATGGAAAGTAGTAAAAACATCAAAGGTTGCCATTCATATTTCTTGGCGCAACTAATTTAAAATGATTTTAAGTTACTGGCTTATCAGTACGCATTAATAGAAATTCTCAATCAATTTTTTTCATCAAATATAATGACCTAAAATAATCTTATAAAGCTTATGCATGCATACATTTAGATTTCATTAAAAGGGAAACAACCGTATATTACTTATTCCGCAATTGCATTATGATTACAATTTAAATATACCATAAAAGGGGAACAACCGCTATAAGTCTTATCATTAAATATACACACACATGCATCATTAAAGGGGGAACAACCGTATTTGTCTTAAACAAACATGCATCAGCATAATATAATCAGATTGTAATTAAGCTATTACATTTTCTCATACTGGGCTGCCGTTTCCCGGTAACTTTTGCTGCAGGTTTCATTTCCCAGTAAAATTTGTCATAAATGTTTTTTTAAATGATTCCAATTTTCTTTTGTGTATTGTTTTATTCTGTTTTCAACCTCCTGTTCATGTCCTGTCGGACTCATCGACTGCTACCTGAAGTGAAAATGTAAATATGTTTACAGCTGCACTTGTCTCAAAATTAAGATTTATGAAACAAACGAAATATCAAAAAAAACACACATATGGTAATACAGGGTATCCTGCCCCATTTGCATCATTATTAACGGACAATTGTTAGAATGACTCCACTCCAGATCTTTTTGACACGACTGGACTATAAATAGTTTTTTTTTCGAGATTAATGTTTCCTTAGACATATAGCATGGGAATTGTAGGGATGGTGGAGCGGATGATTGTGGGGATGACGGAAGATTTGGGGGGATGGCGGCAGACAGAGGGCATGGAGGAGGATAGCGGATGGCGCCAGGGTGTGAGAATGGCACATAGCGGTTGATTATTTCAGGATGGTGGAAGATTGTAGGGATAGCGGAAGATTGTCGGGATGGCGGACAATTCAAAGTGATAATAGCGGATGGTTATCGGGATGGGGCGAAAGATTGTGGAAAAAAGCGGTTTATTGTTAGGATGGATGCTTGTGGGGATGG